AAATACATTTAAGGCGCAGCGAAGCACGCCGGGTAATTGCTAGTATTAATTATATAAAAAGCACATATTTATTCACCTCAACGGCTTAATGCTGTGAGCTCCAGAAGCTAAAACTGCTTAAAGCGTCTCTACACAGCCAGAGTTGTCTGTGAAAACAAAAATTAGCAGACAATACAAAAAATACAAGAAAAAACCAACTTAACTTAAAATCTTAAATTAAAACGCAACACACATTCACAATAGTTTGGCAATTTCACCATATCCTCCTTCAACACGCCATTCACCAACACCACCAAGCTTCTATATACATAGTGCTGTTTACATCTCGATGAAATTCTCAGCGGCAAGAGATTGTCATATTTGCAAGGCCGCTCCTCATTTTCACACTGTTCCACCAAAACACCCTGCCTATGTTGGGCGTGTTGTACGACCAGCACCCATTTTGACTCCCTCGATTCAACACTTTTCGGATAAATTATGCGCGATTTACTATTGCAAAAATACTCTTCACGTTGGTCATTCATGCGATTCGTCACATTTTGTGGTGGTACAAAATCGTCCTTGAAGTATGATTTGAATTGTTCAAATTGATCTGGATCGATCTTATCCAGCTGCGTAGCTTCCAAATAATTTGGCACTTCAGTACAATATGACTTGCCAGCATTACGCTCAGCGCAATTGATTTTATCAACGTCGTCATCGTCGTCGTCGCCGCCCTCATTGTTTTTGAGTGATTTGTCAATGATGAAGCTGGATGGTCCGTTGTTGAATACCATCATACCGGGACCGACTTTGAATATGTTACCCAAATCACTTAGTACATTTTCAGCTGCTTCGGCGGCGGGTATGGGTGCCGATCTGCCGATGACTCGCTGAGTTTTGTTTAGCAGCGCAAGTGTAGATAGTAGTAACAGGGCATTCAATTTGAACATCTTTAAAAAATTTTAGCTCTGAGATGAGTCGCCGCTGCTCACTGTGGTTTCACTACTGCTTCTAAGGTAAAGACTGATGATTGCACCTGTTTTTATATATTTCCTATGCATCTAGAAATGTCGCAGAATGTTTACATCTAAACCTGTGGCTATTCCGTACCTGTGCAGGCAACATGGGAAACTAACGACTTGGGATTTCCGACAGTTTTCAGATCGGAGTTTCCCAAGTTTAACTGAAGGTACAAGTAGTGTTGCCAGATTTCGGCTTTAAATTTATGTACATAGGACATTCACTGATTTTTCCCTTTTACTTGCTTTTGCCGGTTTTATTTGCGTTATAAATAACTGCCAAAATTCTTTTTTTTTTAATGCACAACTTATTAGAATTGAAGTTTTGGCAAAATATAATTTTTTCCAGTTCAAATTCAATCATTTCGGCAGTCCCTTTTGTGAA